GGCGGAAAGGGCGGGGCAGACACAGGGAATGGGGACAAGGCCAGGGCAGCAGGAGGAGGAAGGGTAAGAGCAGGAGAATATGGGGGGGGGCAGGGGAGTGGTGGTGACAAATGATGCATCACTCCATTTAGCTGTGTCACAAGGCCTGTGTCACAGATGAGGAAACTGAGGCACAGGGAAGCTGTGCATGTTGTCTGAGCTCACGCAGCTGGCAAGGCATGGGGCAGGGTGAGTCAGCTACAGACTCAGTGCCCTCATAACCAGTGTTGTGCTTGGCCGCCCCACCCACCCGCACCTGCCCCCACCTGGCTGACAGGTAACTCCCCTGGAGTTGACGGAGCCCATGTAGGGATGTGGCAGCTCAGACCGAAGGGGAGGACTTCTTAGAGTCCTCTTTTTCCTTTTATGCTCTGACCTTAGACACAGTTTATGGAGTCATGGGCCGAGCTGGAGAGCCTGGTCACTAATGAGAGGTAAGAGGTCCTGGTGGCCTGTCTGCACCCGGGTTTGAGCCAACTCCAACCTGGAACTCCATGGGAGGAGGGCCTCGCTGCCTGCATAATCTGGTTGTTCCCTCAGAGGACCAACCCCCATGGGACCCCATACCCATATCCCCCCTGCAGCATTCTGCCAGATCCCCCCATCCCCGTGCCTCCCCCTCACCTTATACAGGTAGATCTTGCTCTCAGAATTCTTGAGCTCCAGCTCCAGGTCAAACGTGGCGACCCCCTCCTTGGTGACCCTGATGTGTCTCAAGTTGGAGATGGCGGTGACGTACTAAAGGGCAGACAAAGCCACCAGGGCAGCTCTTGGGGCTCTCTCGGAGCACCCTAAAGCCCACAGGCCCTCGTACTCTCCTGGGCCCACACTGTCCCCGCCCCCCATGCGTTTGCCCATTTCACAAGCAGGGAGACGGAAGCCCTGTGTAGAGGAACTTCTCCAAGGTGGGAGCTCAGGTCAGAAAGGCCACCGAGAAAGGACTCCAGGTATGCAGGCGCCCTGAGAGCATGCGAGGGAGTGTCCATTCATCTGTTCTTGCACATGGTAAACCTACTGTGTGCCAAGCTCAGTGCTGGATCCTGCGTTATAGCAGAGGAGAAGGCCTGGAGGAGAAAATGTCGGGGCCCTAGTGGGGAGGTTTGGGGAATCACCTTCAAAGTGATGAAGCATTACTTTCAGGTTAAGAAAAGCTGGTTGATTTCCATCTCTAGGAGGAAAATTACACTTGCCCTATAGCTGCGTTAGACACAGGGATGAACTTCCTATAAGTTTACAAGACGCTGGACTTAGAGTGCTGGAGGGACCTGGATGTCTCCATCCCTGAAGACTTCAAGATAACAACAGGAACCCTCGTCTTGGTGGTGGCCGTGGTGATGAGGATGATGACAGCTGACAGTAAGCCTTCCCAAGTGTCAGGCACTCAGCCAAGTGCGTTAGTACAGTTTCTCCCTTCTCTCCATATCCCGACGAGGCAGGCATGACTATAAACACGTTTTTTGTTTGTTTGTTTGTTTGTTTGTTTTTTTGAGAGAGATTTTTGCTATAGGAAGTGTGTTTGCTAGAGAGACAGAGAGACAGAAAACAAGAAATCATCCCTCGAGGGGGTGGCTACACTGCAGTCTTTTCTCCTCCATTAAACTCTTGGGATTTGGGGCATCTGCACACATGTCCGGTGTGAGTTTCAAGACACCAGGTCCAGGACTCGAATGGTGGTCATCCACATGGGCGTCCAGCACCTTAATCACCACGCCACCTGCTGGCCCCCATAATCACCATTTTATAGAGAAAATCAAGATGCTGAGGCCCTAACTTTTCCAAAGCCCCCAAGTTTAGTAAGTACCAGAACCAGGATTCTAAGTCCGGGTGCCAGCTCGGAAGCCTGGGTGCCCAGCCGCACACCTCACTGGGGGCAGATGGAGGTGGCCCCTTGACCGTGTTTGGTTTCCCGAGGCCTGCTGGAAGCCCACCTGCAGGTGTGAGACCAGGTGAGGCTCATGTGCTCAGGTGTGTGTGTGGGCGGGGGTACCTGTGCCATCTTGTCCTCCCGCTCCTTCTTCATCTCCTGCAGCTTGCGCAGCATGCCGCGGTAGTCCACGATGCCGTACTTCATGCAGATCTGCTCGTAGTCCTTCCGGTCTGCCGTCATCAGCAGCTGCCACACCTGCTCTGGGTCCATCTTCTTCTCGGGGGCTGGAGGCGGAGCCCTGGGGAACAGGCTGGCCGGTCAGAGGCCGGAGGAGCCCCAGCTGTTGGCCAACTGGCCCTTGTGCCCCAAGGGCTCCTGGGAAGCTGCACTTGAGAGACTGAAATTTCTGGGCCTGACCACCGTTGGGTCGGGGAGGATGATGAGCTGGCCAAGGTGAGCCTCACCCCTCAGCTCCGGCTTTCAGGGGAAACTGCTCCTAATTTCTGAGCGAGATGTCTCAGGGGAAGGTAGACTGGATTGTTCTGTTGCTTTAAAAGAATTTAAAAGACCAGCAGTTAGCATAATGGCTGTGTTGCTGGACTCTCATGTAGGTGACCACAATTCGAGTCCTGGACCCGGGGGCTTAAACTCCCGCCCGGCGCATGTGTGTGTGTGTGTGTGCCCAAGATCCCGAGAGGAGAATGGAGGAGAAGGGATTGCGGCATGGCTATCCCCCCAGGGGGTGATTTTTCGCTTTCTGTCTCTCTGTCTCTCTCTGTATTTCTGGCAAGCACGTGTGCCCTATAGCAAAAGAAACCTCCCCCCCCCAAAAAAAAAATCGCTGCTTTTTTTGGACTGCCCCATTTTGCACAGGAGGGAAGCAGGACCAGAGAGGAGACACGATTGACTCACGATAGAGCTTTAAAGTGACAGAGCTGGATCCAGAATTCCCACCTGCCCCTCTCAGCCTGACTCCCTGCCCAGTCAGCTCACGGAAGTAGCAGGGAACAGGCACTGTGGGAGCCTTTGAAATCCTCCATGCATAGGCCCACACCCACCTCTTTTTCAGCATCTTCCGGAAGTCCATCAGCTCCTTCCTGAGGTCTAGAAAAGGAGCAGGAACGAGGACCTGGTCCCAGGCGGGATGTTGAGGCGCTCAGGCAGGGCCTTTCTGTGTGGTTGGTGCTAACAACCTAGCTTTCAAAAGGGGCTCTCCCACAGACCGGTGCGGACTCACAAGGTATCGTGGGAGATCGACCAGATAAGGAAGGCAAGGAGTAGCCCATTCTCCAAAGGCCCCCGGGGATTTCAGACAAATCCACCTACCTTCTTGGGGTTCCTTGTGTCTCTTCCGGTTCTTCCGAAAACCAACTGGACCATCCAGGGAGGAGAGGATGGAGTTGACGTGGACAGGCAGAGAGAGAGGCAAGACTCACTGTTGGTCTTCCTGAGCCCCAGGGCCCTGACTGCCGTGTCCTCTAAGGCATGGCAACATCCCAGTGTGAGGGGCGGAGCTTTGATACTCCGGAACCTTGGTTTCACCAAGGAAAGCCAACCTGAGTGTCGTCTTGCACAGGCCAGGCCCCTCACATGTCCACAGGAGCCAGGGAGGTGGCACAAGTGAATGAAATGACCACCGTCAACCACAACAAACAAGAGCCTCAAAAGGGCACCTGTTCTGTCTCTCTGCCTGAGAGTTGCTATTTTGGGGGACACACCCAATATTGCCAGACATGTCACACTGCCATTGGCTGGTCCTGAAGCCATTCATGAGCCTTGTCTTCATCATCTGCTTCCACTAGGGGCTGGAAAAGCTGAATACTTGCCTACCCCGTGTCCCTGGTAACTAGCAGTGGCCACATGACATGGTTACAGTCAGTGAGACGTAATAAGCAAAAGCTCCAAGGAGTTTCTGAGAAAGCTTTTGCTTCCTTGATAGGAGGGGCAGGTATACCTGGGGCTACTTCTTTCCCTGTCCTCCTGCCTCAAACATGGATTAAGTTTGGGTCTGCAGCAGCCAGCTGTGACCATGAGCTGATAAACCAACCTGCTAAGGATGGCAGAGTGGGGACACAGAAGGACCCCAGCCCTGCGAAGTCCTGAGCTGGGTATGAGCCCTGGACCCCCATCTCGGGGCTTCTTACTAAAGGAAGTAATCCATGTCTTTATATATATCAGGCTACTCTTGGTAGGATTTCTGGTACTTGTAAGCAAATCAATTTTAAGTGTAACCAATTCAGAGGTTAGATATGTGTTCTCACGAGAGATCTACCTTCTAATTCTCACGTGTTGATGATGCATTTTTCAAACTGAAGACAGCACACAAGCCAAACAACACGTGTCTGAGAGAGGATTTGGCCTTTGTGCTATCTGTGCGTCCCCCCTGATGAAGGCCTATACGAAACATCTGTTGCCCATGGAGAAACTGAGGCCCAGAGAGGACAAGGAAGTCCACCGAATGAGTCAGCAGGACTCAGGATGAGAAGCCAGTGTCCAAGTGCCAATCTCACTCCACTTGGCCTCAGCACCAGCCAAGGGGTGCCCTTTTAATCACCTGCAGGTTTAGGTAAGTGGCCGAAGCCACAGACTCTAGCATGGGGGAGACAGCAACCTCAGTGTCCTCCCTCCCATGTCCAAGCAGCCGTGTGGCCTCCAGTTCCTCAGAGGGCTCTCTTTTATTTATTTCTTTGTAATTGCCAGAGGACACACACACTTGCCAGGGAGAGACAGAGAGACAGGAAGAGGATAAAGCACTCCTATGGGGCACAGTCATGCTGCAATCCCTTCTCCACTTCCCCAAACTGTCGGGATTGGGGGCACGCACCCACACACACCCCACATGTTTTTCAAGCTGCCTGAGCTGGGATTTGAATCCCAGCCACATGGTCAGCCATGTCGCCATCACAAGGGCACGGGGTCAGTGCCTTCAGAGAGCTCTCTGAGGGGAAAGCTGACATCCTGTGCACTGATGACAGGGTCGGGGACAAGCCCACCTTCGATGACCGTGAGCCTTGCAGAGCACGTGGCCTCCCCGTACATATTCACCGCTGTGCAGCGGTACAGGTCCGTGTCCTCGCCCGTCAGCTTGTTGATCTGCAGAGAGGCCAAGGGCAAGGGGACAAGTTATCACTCGCCTTCCTCCATGGTTGGGGGTGTAGAGATGAATAAGTCACCATCCTTGTTCTCATGGAGTTGCAAACCCCAAAACTAAAGCCTGGATGGGGGCAGGGGCAGATGCACCCACTCTCTCCCATCAGAGGCACTGGAGTATATCCAAAAGAACTTACTCCGGAGGGCAGAGGGACTTGGGCCTGAAAATTCTCTCCGTCAATTGTATGGGATCTTCAAAATGTTCACGGAAAAGGGGTATAGTGAAAAAACTATGCGTGAATTTTATTTTTTTGGTACCAAAATAAATTCCATTTTTCTGTGAACTTTTCGAAGTCTCCTTTATTACAAGCTGTGAGACCTTGGATATGTTATCTCACCTTTCTAAAGTTTAGTTTGTTCACTTGTATGATGGTCACAATTAAATCATATAATGAATATTAAATGTTGAGCCCAGAGCGTGGCACATGGCAGGTGGTCCATGGTTGCTGATTATAATATTAATATTACTAATATTAAGCAAGATTGACTGACTACTCAATTATAAGCCAGGCATTACTTTACATAAACTATTAATGTTCATAGCAACTTCTTAAAGTAAATATTACAGGTTGAGCATCCCTAAGTCAAAAAACTCCAAAATCGGAAACTTCATCTGATGGCACAAGTGGACAATTCTACACCTGACCTCATGTGACAGGTCACGGTCAAAACTCTGCAATGGGGACCGGATGGTGGCATCATGGTCAAACAGGACACTCTGCAAAGCAAACTCACATGAGAAGGTTGGCAGTTTGCATCCAGAGATCTCCCTGAAAAGGCTGGGCATGTGTGTGCCCGTGATCCAAGAGAGCTGAGGCTGGGGGTGGGGTCACAACCCTGTTGAAATACTTTACTTCTGTGTCTGTCTCTCTCATTCATGGATAAGTAAATTTTAAAACAATAAAACAAAACACTGCAATACAAAAATAGTATATAAAGTTACCTTCAGGGTAAGGTGTGTATGAAACATAAATGAGTTTTTTGTTTAGACATGGGTCTCATATGTTGTTATGTATGTGCAAATACTCCAAAATCTGAAAAATATCCAAAATCCGTAACAGCGATCCCAAGCATTTCAGATAAGCAATATGCAGCCTATATTATTATATCAGTTTATAGAAAGGGAAACAGACGTAGGGAGAGGTGAGTAACTTTTCAAAGCCACAGTGGTGGGCCTGGGATGGTAACCCAGGAGTCTGACTCCAGAGTTTGAGCTGTGAAACTCTGCCTAATGCCACTCCCAGGTTATCTGCAGAGATATCTCTGAGCCTGCCAGATCCACTCCTGGCTCGGTCAAACTTGAGCCACAGGATGGAGTTGAATGGCCTCAGTGGACTCAACTTTAGGAATATCTCTTGCTCCTCTGGGAACTGGAGACACCAAGGAGATGGTCAAGGGCACAGAAAGAGATGTGCGGACCCTGTCAGAGGAAGAGCTATGGCTCCTACCTGCAGCACGTGCTCCTTGCTGCCAGGGGCCGAGGAGATCTGGTACTTGCTGGAGTTACTGAGGTCACCTCTGGAGCTCTGCCAGTGCACCTCGGGTCTGGGCTCCCCGCAGACCACAGCCCGAAAGATGGCATTTCTCCCTGTAGCAGGAAGAGACAGGCAGGGGACTGACAAGCTGGGGGAGGATGGCATCATCCTTAGAGATGTTCATTTCCATCATCCCCCTGCCCGATCCAAGAAGGGTGTCGGGCCTCAGTCTCCTGACTCAGGACTGCAATGTCAAATGACAGTAGCAGTTGCCTGGCACCCAGAAAACAGTTCTGCCTGGCTCTTGTGTTGCAGAAGCCAGGGGTCCAGGGCACAGATGCAACTGGACCGTCCACTGAAAAGGGAGCAAGCAGGGCTTGGGTGGGAGAGAGGCGTTTCTCAACAGTGGGCGGGTAGGAAGTCAAGGCTTTCCCAATAGCGGAGAAAGGTGACATCTGCAGGTTCCATTTCTGCTCTCTAGTTACCTTCAGGGTAAGGTGTGTATGAAACATAAATGAGTTTTTTGTTTAGACATGGGTCTCATATGTTGTTATGTATGTGCAAATACTCCAAAATCTGAAAAATATCCAAAATCCGTAACAGCGATCCCAAGCATTTCAGATAAGCAATATGCAGCCTATATTATTATATCAGTTTATAGAAAGGGAAACAGACGTAGGGAGAGGTGAGTAACTTTTCAAAGCCACAGTGGTGGGCCTGGGATGGTAACCCAGGAGTCTGACTCCAGAGTTTGAGCTGTGAAACTCTGCCTAATGCCACTCCCAGGTTATCTGCAGAGATATCTCTGAGCCTGCCAGATCCACTCCTGGCTCGGTCAAACTTGAGCCACAGGATGGAGTTGAATGGCCTCAGTGGACTCAACTTTAGGAATATCTCTTGCTCCTCTGGGAACTGGAGACACCAAGGAGATGGTCAAGGGCACAGAAAGAGATGTGCGGACCCTGTCAGAGGAAGAGCTATGGCTCCTACCTGCAGCACGTGCTCCTTGCTGCCAGGGGCCGAGGAGATCTGGTACTTGCTGGAGTTACTGAGGTCACCTCTGGAGCTCTGCCAGTGCACCTCGGGTCTGGGCTCCCCGCAGACCACAGCCCGAAAGATGGCATTTCTCCCTGTAGCAGGAAGAGACAGGCAGGGGACTGACAAGCTGGGGGAGGATGGCATCATCCTTAGAGATGTTCATTTCCATCATCCCCCTGCCCGATCCAAGAAGGGTGTCGGGCCTCAGTCTCCTGACTCAGGACTGCAATGTCAAATGACAGTAGCAGTTGCCTGGCACCCAGAAAACAGTTCTGCCTGGCTCTTGTGTTGCAGAAGCCAGGGGTCCAGGGCACAGATGCAACTGGACCGTCCACTGAAAAGGGAGCAAGCAGGGCTTGGGTGGGAGAGAGGCGTTTCTCAACAGTGGGCGGGTAGGAAGTCAAGGCTTTCCCAATAGCGGAGAAAGGTGACATCTGCAGGTTCCATTTCTGCTCTCTAGACAACCGTGGACAGGAATGGCTGTTTGGCAAGAAGTTGGTCCTGAGACAGGGGCTCCAGCCTCAGGTGCGACCCCATGCTCCAGACCTGGCACATCTCGGCCTCCCTCAGGAACACCTCGGTAGACAGCAAGACAGAGTGAAGGCTCAAGGGCCCACCCACATTTTGCAAGACCTTGTTTCAGATGTAGAAAAATGAAGCATCATTATTGTACTTAGAATGTTGTGAACTAGAATTTATCGCAGGAATTTATATTAGGGGAAAAAACAGCAATTCCCACTTTCCCCTGACAAGCCTTTGTTCCCCTCCTCCCTTTCCTGGGCATTTTTCTCCTGGGACTTTCTTTCTTTCTTTCTTTCTTTTTATTTATTTTTTTTATAGAGAGGTTTTTGCTATAAGGCTCATGCACTCGCTGTCGAAACAGAGAATCAGAAATCACCCCTCAGGGGCTGTTCATGCCGCAATCCCTTCTCTTGAAATTTTGAGCATGTATGTATATATGCCCACTGTGAGTTTTAAGCCTCATGGTCCGGGACTCGGACCTCAGTTGATTATGTGGGAGTCCAGCAACATAACCATTATGTCATCTGCTGGTCCCATCTCCTGGGACTTTTTAGAATGGCCTTGTGGAGCCCAGCCCATGAGCCACTGGGATGGGGCTGTCTGGAAGCAAGGGTTAGGAACTAATGGAACCATTAACTAACTCCGCGTTAACGTGCCTCTCTCCACAGTGGCCTTGAGCGGCGGAGGGAAGGAAGGACTAGAAAACGCCAGCACCTCTCCCTGCTCCCCAGTGTAACTCCTTCCTATCCTTGCCCCAGAGATTTCCCACGTCAGCAGAGCACGGTATCTCCTCTTCCACTTTACCCGTTCTCCACCCCAGGTGCCTTCATGAGACATGGCCAGCCTGGTGATGGCCCTAGGGACTGGGTGCTCAGGAAGGCAAGTACCCACACCTGCCCCTGTGCATGCCAGGAAGCAGTAGAGTTGGAATCTAGCCAACCCTTGGCAGCTCCCCTGCAGGGCCTCACCCTCCTGCAGAGCCAGGGTGATGGGCTTCTGCTGGAAGTCTGGTGTGCTGCAGCCCTCAGGAATCTCCTCCACCAGCTGCCGGATGCTCACCCCTGGGATGGAGGACTTCTTCAGAGGCTTTCCTGGAGAAGGTAGGAGAGAGGAGATGGGCCCCAGCCCTTTTTCCCTCTTGGGCAGTTGGCCCTTCAGCAGAATGCAACATGCACCCACTCTCCCAAGGTGCAAGGCCCCCCTGCTCTCTCCTGCTGTCGCTGTTGGGCAGGATCATCTGTCCTCCCTCTGTCTGTGAACGGGTGCCTTTTAATCTCCCGTGGAACTCTGGCACTGGCCTTCCCCAGGTATGAATAGAGCCTCTAGGAAGAAGACCAGGGGCGCTCCAGGCAGGGGGTATCCTGGGTAGGAGGCAGGTCACTGGGAGAAAGCTTGGGAAGGGAGAGTGGAAAGAGATTCCTCCTCAGGAAGCAGGAGCCCATGTGGGAGCTCAGCACCCCAAACGTGGGAAACCAAATCGACATCCAAAGCCCAAACTGAAAAAGCAGAGACAGGTGCATTCCCAAAGACCTCTGGCCCCTGCCGCTCCCTCCTCTCCACTCTGGTGAGGAGGGCCAGGAGGGGCTGAGGCAGGGGCTGGGACCAGGGCTGGGGAGGGAGGCGGCTCTTCTCTCACCTGCCATCTTTGTCTTTGGCTTCTCTGAGGATGGGAATTGCTCTCCTGAGAACCGAAGATAAAATCGTGTGGGAGAAGTCCAAGCTGGTCCTCCCCCACACACCCCTCCCACACCGTGCATCAGCTCCTGGTGGAACTCTGGGCCCAGTGACCGCTCAGAGGATAAGACACGGCCTTCCTCCAGCGGAGCAAATCAAACACTCGGGACTCTTCCAGCTGTTTAACAGCCTCATCCCCTAGACTTCGGAATGTGAATTCTCTAGGACATTCTCTGAGCCTGCTGGCTCTTCTTTCAACTCTGAGAAGTTCTTAGCAGGCCTCAGGAGGCCTCAACCTCCATCCTCAGCCAATCAGGAATCCTTCAGATCACAAGGTCTGCAAGCAAGAGCCCCGACTTGGCTGCAGGATCCCCATAAATCCATCTGCTCCCCTATGGAGCCAGTGAATTATAGTGTCAGGTGAACAAGATGGTTTCCAGCCTCTCCCAACTACTACCACCAACTCCCCCAGGCTTCCTCTCAGTGGCATCCCTCTGTTACGGCTGATGGGGAGTCCCACACGAGGAGTGGGGGGTCGGCTCTCAGAGAGGATGAGAGTCATGAATGGGCAGGGGTGGTGGGGTCTTGGATGAATTCTCCAGCAACCCCATCTCTTGTGCAGTTGGCCCATGGCCAAGCGGTTCCCTTCCGGGGACTCCATCAAGGGGCCCTGTTACACACGAAGGAGCAAATTACTCCCTCCAACTGACATGCCTCCATTTCTCAACTGCCCACCCGCTGGTTCTTCCGGCCCCAGGCATCCCCTCTGCAGCCTAGCCGCTGCCCCCCAGTGTGCCGGAATGCCATGGAGCGCCAACCGCGTGCTGGAGCGGTCACAGGCTCCGCGGCCACTGGCCAAAGGGAGTCACGAGGGAGGGCGGGGAGGAAGGGCAGCTGCCAATAGAGGATGCCCTGACTGGCCACAGCTGAGAGAGAGGGGACAGCAGAGCCCTTGTCCTGTTCGCCCTCCAGTTCAGCTGTCTGGTAGAAGTACATTGACACCTTCCGTGAGGCTGACACTGGAGTCCGTTGAGTCCAACATGGCTATCTTAGTCATCATCCTGTCATGGTCACCATCAGCTATCAGCCTACGGCTTGGGCTACTGTCACACGTGAATACGCACAATGCTGACACGGCACTTCTCCATAGCCTCCTGCTCATGGGAGACAGAAGCAGAACTCTTGAGGGGAACTTAGGGCTCCAGTGCTTAGCCATCCACCCTCTGGACCTTTGCCCTCTTCCAGAATAAGCCAGGTCTAGTACAGGGTCAACAATGAATAAGAGAGCTTTCTGGCTGGGGACTGGAGAAACGAGGTCTCAATTGGAAGAGTAAGAAAATGAATTCTTGCTTCCCTCATTCACTTCCACCAGGATCTTTATTCACCTTAGCACCAAACAGCTCCTTGTGTCTCACTTCAGCCTTCCCAACAAGGCTCTCAGCCCTAGAGTCCAGGCTGTGTCTCCCTGGCCTCTCCCCAGGACCCCTGGCCCTCTCTCCCCTGGCCCCACTTGCAGTTAGGTTCTTCAGACCCAGTTCCTCAGTAGCTCCAACTTCTCTGCAGGAAGAAATTGTACCAGATGGGGCAATTGCCTTGCCCCCGGTATTCAGCAAGCTGCAGCAAGGCCTTATTCTGGACGGAGGTCCTTATTCTGGACAGAGGTCCTTATTCTGCACTGAGGTCCTTATTCTGGATTAAAGTCCTTATTCTGGATGGAGGTCCTTATTCTGAACTGCCTGTGAGATTCTTAATCCAGTCATCGTATCAAATCTTAAGTCAACCAATGCCTAGAATATCAGAGCCAGACCAGAATCACCCAGACAAGATTCCCTGAAATGATCTCCAATTATCTTGAAGTCACCCGAAGAGGACATGCATGCACGCCCGAGTGTGATCAGCCAGCCAGGGAACGTTCCCCAGGCTTCCCGGCATCTCATACCCACCGCCCGCCCAGTTTACCGAGTAGAAAAGCTAGAGAGCAGGCCAGGGTCTCCATCTATGCCCTGCCCTGGCCCGGGTGAGCAGCCAGGTGTGCAACTCCCACTTACCTGGGTGCACAGCCGGCCTCTGCCTCTTGCCCACTCCCTCCTCCCTGTTTCCAGCTGCTCTTGCCGCCAAAGGCTCTGAACAACTGCTGGTGGCCAGGCGGCTGGAGCAGATGTAGGTCACTGCAGAGTCCTGGCTCCCTTGGCCCCTCCCACTCACCCCGCCTCCCTCCTTTCCAGTCCAGGCTTGGCAGGGCAAGGCCCCCCAGGGCTAATGTCCCAGCCTGAGAGGTCAGCGAAGGAAGGGTCCTGTGACAGCAGCCCATCCAGCTCCTCGCTTGCAGAGCTAAAGCTCTTACCCAGGTTGGCTGAGTGTGTTTGCACTACAATGCCCATTTACACACCCCTCTTAGCAGCGTGTTTTCATCTTCCAAAGCCTCAAGTTTTCAGCTAAGCTGGTCCCTTGGGATCCTTGGCAGTGTAAGTCACACAGACACATAAGGCCACTGTCCTCTTGAGAATCACAACCCAAAGTGATGGCAACAGGCAACAACCTTTGAGAGCTGGTCACAGATCCAGAGAGACAGGAGGCGTGATCCCACAGGCTCTGCAGTGGGACTGCACTCCACTGAGCAGGCAGCGAAGCAGAGATCCTGGGAACTGCATAGCCAGGAGGCCTTCCAGAGACTGTGAGCTTGTCAGGAGGCCTCTGTTGTTGTTTTAAAGCCAGAGGGCACATGCACAAGCATGACAAAGAGAGACAGAGACAGAGAGAGAGACAACCTCCTAGTGGGGTCCTGGTCACACCACACTCCTTCCCCTCCTATTCTCCATCCTGTCAGGGCACGCATGTTTATCTGGTGTGTTTTTCAAGCCAACAGGGCTGGTACTTGAACCCAGGTTGGGTAGCATCCAGGTTCCCCGTGCAGTGCCTACCCACTGCGCTATGGGGCCGACTCTCAGGAGCTTTTTTAAGGGAGAGAAGGGGCAGCCAGGCCAGTTGGGTAGGGGCTGATATTCACAGGGCAGATGGTCAGGTTTTGAGGAGGCCTGGATGGAAGGTGGAAACTGGAAATAGGATGACTGCTGACAGATCTTAAGGAGAACAGAGGGCAGGCCAGGCCTGGGAGATGAGGCCTTCAGGCCACTTGGTCTGCTGTGTAAGAGCCACCTGCTCTCTCCTTAAGGACAGATGGAATTGTCACTCCCTGTAAGTGAGGCTTGATCAAGGATTACAGGAGCGACCTCTGCGTGTTGGTGAGGTGTTTGACCTCTTACCCACGTGTTTGTATGCACACACATGCACTTGTGTGTCCACCTGTGTGTTTCCAAGTGTCAAGGGCTGGTTTTACAGCTATTCAACAAACACGTGTTGAACACCTGCCCTGTACTGGGCACTGGGAACACAAGGGGAGGCGAATGATAGGGTCCACCCCTTATGAAGCTCACAGTCTAAGGGGGACAGACAGACATTAACTATCCGGTTACAGACTGAGAGGCAGGCTCTGGAGGAGTTGACAGCTGGGGAGCTGGAGGTTGGAGAGCCAGGGAAGGGGATGGGAGATGAGTTTGCTCTGTCAGGCTTCTGAAGAACTTGGGCTCTAGCTTATGGGCTATTGCTACTGAGGCTTGTTTAAGCTGCAAGGTAGCAGGATCCAATTTGCATGAAAAATAAGCAAACAAACAAAAATTCCCTCTGGCTGCAGGGAGGGAGAAGGGACCGGAGAGGGAGGAGGAACCAGAGGGGGAGGAGTGAGAAAGGAGTCTAGCTTCCAGGGGAGTCCAGTCTCCCCCAGGTGCTCCTGGGCTCTGGGGGCCTCCTGAGCTGCAAAGCTGCATCTGCCCGGGAGAGAGAAAGGGAAGCTGTAAACTTGGGCCTGCACAGAGCCCATGGGTAGTTCAGGTGCTTCTACTGGACCCCCACAGAGCTGAGGCCTAGGGACATCTGCAGACCCCTGAGTCAAGGTGTCTGCTATAGCCTGGTTCTCCGTCCCGTCTCAGGAGCAGCCCACATTCGGGGCACCTCTCCTCTGCACTGCACCACACCTGGATCCCTCTCTGGGAAATAAGATGGCACTTTCAGGACTCCAAGGGCCGAGATGGGAGAAGTCTTCTGCAGCCTCCCCTCATCCTCCATCCAGTGTAATTCCCAACAACACTGAGCTGTCCCTGGCATGTTCAGCCATTCATGTGAGGATGAGAATCTGCACTTAGACGACAGACCTGGCCCAGACACTGGCCCTGTTCCCTGAGACTGACAGTAAGAAAGGGGGTATACGTGGGTTCCCAGCCCACAGTCCAGCCCTTTCTGGGAATATCCTGGCTACCACTCAAGCCAGGATAGGATGTTCCCTAGCCCTGACCCTAACCTGATCTTCCCTAGCATCCAGATTTCATTGGTGAAATTTCCCCACCACCTCTCCTATGGCATAACCTTATCACACCTCCTGATGGGCTCATTTTCAGGAGATAAAAAGCAAGTGGTGCTCACGTTGGTTAGGAGAAGGTTGTATCAAAAGCGTCCTGGGCAGGGGATTGGTGGTATTATTCATTCTTCCTCAGTGCATTAGGGAGAGGGCTCAGTGACCTTGGAAGGGAAATGGTCACCGTTTATTAATGCTTGCCTGTCCCCATGAGAGGGAACTGCGTTATCTAGCAGGTACCCAGAGGCTCAGGCTGGGTAAAGGCTCCCACTTGGGGCCCTCTCTTCCCCATGGCACAGATTAGGTGAGATGATCTCTGATCCTGGCCGACCCTAACACCCTGTAGTCCTGAGACTTGCTGAGTGGGTCTCATGGGCAAGAAGGCCCCTGTGGACTTGGAAAGCAGAGAACTTAGGAGAGTCTGAGCCCATTCACAGGCTGCTGTTGTCTCTGTGTCGGTGTAAAAATGGCTCTGCCCCAGCTAAGTGAGCTGAGCATACTCTCCCTAGGACAGCGGTAGCTGGGTTGGGAGAGCATTCTAGCCAGATGCACAGAGAACAC